ATGCGGGGACGCCGTTTTGACACGATTGAGGAGATAAAAACCGAATCGAAGAAGGTCTTGAAGGCTATACCGGAAAAAGACTATTCCGACTGTTTCGAGGACTGGAAAAAGCGTCGGAAACAGTGCGTTTTATCGGACGGGGATTACTTTGAAGGGGATGAAATTGATTTGGAAGAATAAATAAAGAATTTACATTTTATAAACAAATTCACCTTACTTTTTGATCACAGTAGTATAACAGGCGATATGAGAGTCTCTGTTATCAATTTGATAATATTCGTCCATATTCTCTAACTGGCTATGATATTTTATTACAATTCGCATGGCATCATCGGATCCGTTTAATACCGATATGTTTAATACAAATGATCCATTGGCGAGGGAAGGAAATATAACGATCTGCATGAATGCTGATGTATTAAAAATGAATTATTGAACGTTGAACTGACATTTATGCGTGAAGATAGAGATTTTAATGAAAATGGAGTCATATGATTTACATACGAAATCATGGAACGTTTCAATCATCGTTTCAACCATTACTCAGTTATTAACTGCTCATCGATATTCATAATCAAATTGTCAACCCAAATCTGCAGTATGAAAATTGTAACATAAAAGTACATTTGTGACTTCGGCGTTGGAAAATGAATGCTTAAAATATGAAAAGAAAACGTAGCTATTCGAGTGGAATAAAACTGTCGATGCGTCTATATTGCTTTGGTGAAAATAAGAAGAATGAAATTAATAATTTCGCAATAATTTAATTAGAAGTGCGCTACATGGTAATTTAATTTACTCTCCCCTCCCCAGTTTTCTAATATGATCCATCTAGTGTGAAGTGACCCGTGAACAGAACACAAAAGGGCAAAATTAATATTCATACTCGTGTGCGCATTTGATAGTAAATCTCCATTAAACAACAGGAAAGTGCTCCTCTCATAATTATTGATACAGTTTTACAGGCATCATACGAGCGGCAGAAACTGGTTTGATTCGGTCTGGTTCCTCTCGCCGTAATAATTTTCACGCAGAACAGTGTATTAATTTTACAGTTGAGAGAAAATGAATTTGGAACTCTCCCGACAAAGTACTGTCTCATCAATTATAAAATCTGGAATGAGGTACTTTAATTAATAGTCGAGACATTTTTAACTATGTATCCTCTAAAAATCTGAAAAAATTCATGGAACACAAAACTAATGAAAAAATACAATGTGTAATACAAGTAGCACACAGTGAAATAAAAAATGGATACGTATATTAGATTGTTTCATTTGGAGTCGTTATGGACTGATGTTTACAATGCGAATTCAGAATTATTTTTTGACCCACATCCGTCCTTGGTTTGACACTATTTTAATGTATTAGAGTATATTATTCTACTATTTTTAGGACAATTGCTATAACATTATTTGCTACGGAAAGGATCTTTCTGTTTCAATTTGACATACATGAATTTCACAAGCAAGAGCTTTTTTTCGAAAGTCAAAAAATATCTAGCAGCTACAGGGTGCTCAAATCTAATACTTCGGAAGAATTTTCACTGAACGTGAGCTATAACAAATGAGCGAAAATTTGAATCGTGAGTAACAATAAATGACGAAATGAACGTGATTGAAGATGTGAAACTCCAACCGCGAAATGACAGAATATTCACGAAAATATGACTATATATAGTTGTGGGACAACCTAGTATTTTTCGTGAGTCTTGAAATCATTACGCAATGAATGGATCAAATGAATGAATCTTCCTGGTATTCGCGAAATAGAGCATGAAAGTGCATGAATCGATAAATTATTAGTCTTCTCTCGTTTATTCTGTTCACGTTGCATTTACTCTGAAATATCGACGCTGTTACGTGATCTGAATAATGGTTAATTAAAATTTTGGCATACCTTGTTGGAGCTTTGTCCCATATCGAGCTCCCGATTATAACGTTTCTCCCCATAGATCCAATCTTGCACGACCTTCTGAATTTCTGGCTTCTCCGGGTCCACTAATCGAAAGGCAGTGATATTGGTCCCGCCGTGCTTGAATTCCTCCAGGTCGACGCTGTGCAGGTCCTGCAAGGAATTTAGATCGCTTTATGAATCTCTCGAAGGTATAACCGCCTTTTTGCATGCTGTCCGGCAAAGACATTTTATTGCTCTTCGTCTATAAGCCTTTAATAACGGCCCTACATCGTCCCCTGCGGGTCGCAAGATTTGTAGACCCACGTTCCACTTTAGCGGCTTAAAAGAATTGTCAGGCTAGCAATACCTGCAATGATTATCGTACTAGATCGAGGACATCGGAATTTGCGCACTCGTTGTTAGAGCGTTCCGGAATTCACGATTATACCATAACGCATTGTTCATTGTTCGATCGTGAACAGGAAATCATTGAGATCGAAATTCATGTAGAATATTCTGCAGTAGATGAATTTCAATTATTCTGAGTTACACTAATAATCAATTGATTATTAACTGCTTTTGACACTTTCCTATTGCTCTATTAGTGACTTTGCGGATTCTGATGCTAATTCTCAATTTCGTGGATCATTCTACGAATATTCGAATGAAGAAGAAGCCCCGATGCATGCGAATACACAAAGAAAAAGTGAAATTATCGTATTTATTCCTAAGAAAATTGTACAAAAATTTCGTTTGCTGCATTAAAAGTAAACATTGTGTGCATCGTAAAGAACGCTATATTTGAGAATGGTTGCAATTTCTTTACTCTTAAAGTGTTACTGCATCTAGATAGAAATAGAGTAGTCAATATTAATATTCGGACATCTTTTAAAACGCAATAACTTTGTTAAAATTGCTCCAAATGACTTGAATTCTTTTTTAGATGTTAGATGGGCTAATTTATTACACAATGTTTCAAACAATTTTTGTAGAAATTTTCATCGGTTGCAGCGACGAAAATGTTAGAAAATTCTGTTCGCCAACCTTTATATCCGAGTCTCTCTGTTACAAAAATTCGAATCACAATAATTATACATACTGGAGATATCATCCAGATTGGTTAACGCTGTGTGACCGATTAGAAATTTAAGGTCGTAAAGAAATAACGCATCTTTCAATGTCTACAGTTTATTTTTGCGTCGATCGATTTCGATATTCAGCGTGCGTATCAGTTACCAGGATCCACAAAATACATTCATTAAATTTTCGTTACAAGTTTACACATATTCTTATTCCAACCAATTGTAATTTTTGCGAACATTTTCTCATCCCTTGTCGCATCTAAATAAAGATTAACCCTAGAAAGATAACCATATGACAACGTACGTAAAAGATAACCATACGCTTCAGAGGCGCATGCTTTTCTAAGGCGTCAATTTTATACTAACAATGGATATTTATTTAAGTTAATCTAGTCATTTTAAAGGTTTGGCATTATTGTAAAAATAAAATGCGTTTATATTATATTTTTTTATATTTTAAGTAATTTTAAACTTAAATCACTAGACCTCTATGAAAAATTAACAAAAATCAACAGTCTTCGGTTTATGGGAACAAATCCCGTAAAATATCACAAAAAATAGTGTTTTATCCTTACAAACTAGTAGACTATAATATAATCAGTGTAAAAAAAACTATAATATTATAAAAAATTTCTTTAGAGACAGTCATGACAAACGTCTTTCTTGTGTTCACCACAAACTGTCTTTTTGCATTTGGCACAGGTCATCTTTGACATTCTTTTCTTTTTAGACGTGCAAAGACTGCAATAACGCCTTTTTTTGGCTGAGGGTTCTTCTTCATCATCTGTGGAAGCCTGTACAGCAGATTTTGGAAGAATATTTTCAATGTTGCTTCGCACATGCCTTGGCAAAGTGG